TTATGATTCTCCTGTTCAGAATGATATCAGAGTTAAAGTAGTTAAATTACAAGGATAGATAATATAGACTAGATTTAATGAATGGTATCGAAGTAAAACATGAATGTTGTTTCTCTCTCCACAGAACCTGCTAGACTTGCTGAGTATTTCAAATTTCTAACATTTAGAATATTTTGTTTTTGTAAAGACTAGACTTGTATTTCCCTTAGTGTAGAAGATTAAGCATTGATCTAATTGAGATTTGACAAAAGAAGCTATTAGGAAAGATATAGAAATTATTTCCTGTTGAACGAGAGTTGAGAATGAGCAAGTAAAAACATAAATTAGAGACAGAGCATTCAGACGGTGATGCCAGGAAGCTGTTGAGGCTGGAGGTTAAGTAAAATTAACAAAACTGAGATTGATAGGTTTCTGCTAAACAATGATATTAATACTAATGTAACTAAGACAGGAAAACAGAGTTAAAGTACAGAATAACCTAATCTAATAGAATGCTAGAACAGGTGTGAGGAACTGACTGGTCTAATCCTGATCCTGTGTTCTAGTTTTATTTTTCAGTAAGCTCCACAACAGGGCAATGTTATTTACAATCATCAAGTTTCTGTAAAGATAAATGTGTGCTGTTGCATTTTATTAAGAAGAATAAGGCAGCCACATTTTCTTTGTTAATTAAGTTTCTAAATTGGGTACAGAAACAAAGAGATCCAAGATACAGATACACAAATCACCAGAAGTAGCAACACAGATTAATAAGACCATAAAAAGGCAACAAATCACAGTGATTCATTTCTAAAGGAATGGAACAGTAGAGAACTTATGTTAAGTGGATACAAACCAGGTTAGATCACACTTGGAGTACAACACAGAGTTCTAGTGCTAAGTTTACAAACAGGATATTTAAATCAGATGCAGAAAAAGATGCAAGGATGAAACTAGAACTGAGAGGTGATATCAGCCAGGAAATACTGAACGGGTTAGGGCTCATTTCCACAGAAAAGAGATGGCTAAGGAGTTGTCTTTAAGATAACGAAAGGGTTTGATAGGGTGGATATAGAAATACTTTCACTGTGAGGAAGACCAAAAATAGGATCCCTAATGGGAAGATCATCACTGATCAATGCAATAGAGAATTTGTAAGAAACTTATTTACTCACAGCATGATGAGAATGTGGAATAACGGAAACAAATGGAAGAGATGTATTTAAAGGGAGAAAGGATAGAAGGATCTTGTTGATTAGGTTGAAATGAAAATGAGTGGGAATGTGCTTGTGTGGAACTTAAATAGCAAATGGACCGACTGACCTGTTTCTACATTGTAAATGCTACATAATTATTGATACTGTTCCAGAAAAAAGTGTATCTAACTCCCATTAGGTTTGCTTCTGAATAAGTCCCTTCAGATTTTATGCAATGTAACAAGGAAAGGCTGCAGGCTGCATTAAAAGTAAATTGCACTTATTCAGTTGAGCACTGCTGTACATACCTAGTATCTCCACTCCCACATTACCCCTTCGTGAGTCAAGCAGATTCTCCATGTTACTTGTGTACATTGCCTACTACTAAGCGATCTAAGGAATAGCATTGGCAAACAGCTTCGTGGCCAACTGCATAGGTGATGATGCAGGGAGCAGGAGCATTTAACTGCCTCCCTGACTGTATTAATCTCCCCCTTCCCAAATATAAAAGATATCCATTATTGAGCTTGGTCCAACTTTTAACCTTTTTCAGTATACAGTCTGCGGGACTGTCTCAAAGCAGCACACATACTAATGAGACAATCAGTTTTCTTATTTAGTTATGTTTTAGTGCCAGGAAGGAGTGGGAGAGGATGGAAGGGGCTTGTTAATTAATATGAAATTGGCTTTATCTGACAACGTAGGAAGATATATCAACAAGTAATGCGAACAGAGGGTAAAATTTCCTTACTTAAAAATTCAAATTGGAATTGTTTAAAGCACTCGTAGCCTATTCCTCTGTGTGTTACTTAAATAGATTAATGACTAATGCAGATATGACACAGGAATATCCACAACAGGCTTTAAGCATTTGGTGAACTTCACCTATGGGACATTTTACCTTTTCCAAATTGAAGATTTGAACAAGCAAACTCCCAGCAGCTTTATTCTGTTTAAAATAAAATAAAATCTGAATGAATAAAGTCAACTGCAGAGGAGTGAGTCACTGGGGTGTCATCCTGCACCATTCTAAACTCTGCCGGCCCCTTCACTTTCACTGGTTTGCTTCCTACAGCAGTCAAGTACAGATGTCGCTACAGATCCCCTCACTAAGCTGCTCAAGTTTTGCAAATCATATGATCCCCACCGACCTGACATGTTAACCAACACAGGCGTTTCTCACCAGGACTCAAAACATTTTAAATTTAAATAAACACATGTTTTAAAATACATCACACAGAGCACAGCACATGTTGGCTGTATCCAGAGCCAATTGCTGTACCAACTGTTAACTTCATATGCGGCCTGGCAGAGACAGGCTCAGCATCAAGACAGGACAGGGAGGTTTGGTGGGGGAGGAAAATGGGGAGTAGAAGCATCAGGACTCGGTGCTGATCCCCTAGCCTTTCTGCACAAGTTGGCAACTACAGCCAACTCTGTAGCTGCATCAAATACAGAAGTCCCGCTATCTGTATCTGCTACTAACCCTGATGCACCTGCATCAGTCCCAGAGGTCTCTGATGCTGAGTTGCTCTGGACTCCAGATTTTCAGAGACAGCACCTGCAGTCACCTGTTTTTTCCTTGGCGGCACCAAACCCCCACTTGAATGACCGTCAACTTGATGAGAGTGTGCAATTCCAGTAGAAGAGGCCAGTTTTTCACGCTGACCAATTATCTGAGTGAGCATAGAGCACTGGGCTTCTATGAGACTTTGAAATCCCTCAGCCATGGTTGCCTGCAAGCGCTCTCCAAGAGAATTGAAGCCTGCCTTGACAGCTTCTTGGAGTTTTGACCCCAAAACTTCTATAGCAGCAGAATGAGCATTCATGATTGATGACCCGACTGTGTCCAAGGCTTGAGTTAGTGAGGTCTCCACTGCAGATGCCACTGGTGTTGCAACGTGCTCAATAGCAGACTGCAATGCGCACAACCGTTGGTCCAACATAACCATGCCATCTTCCACTGTTGTGTGTATAGAGGCAAGTGACTGTTCAACGCTGAATTCATGTTCTAACAGTCTCCGTTTGAAGGCAGGCCCACTTAGATCTGTATCTGCATCTGCCTCAATTGGAGGGCCCAGCATATGGGGCCTCCACCCTTCAAAGGATGATCTCTCATCATCTACCAATATTGGTCCCCCGTCCTCACTAATGTTCAGTGACTCACCCAGTTCCTCCTCATCCTCAACACTACCACCTCCTCCAGTGGGTGTATCTATGCTGGTGCCTGCTTCAGCTTGAGGCGATGATATTTGGTACTTAGGTGTACGGTGCTGTTTTGCAGCAGTAATTGATGATCCACTTGTTTCTCCTTGATCTGTGAAGAGATACAAAATGGCAGAGTATGAGTACATAGGCTCACACTCTGCAGATTCATTACAAACTGTTGGATGCCCTCATACAAAGTCTTGTACAGACATATTAGTGTTACACCTTGTAATGATCATAAACCTTTTTATTAATAAATCTACAAACACACTCACCACTGAGTCTTGACATGACACTGAGATCCATTGTATCAAGGCCTTCAAAGCTTTCTTTCCCAAAAAGAAGGATCATATCATTCTCGAACTCCGTCAATGTTTTGATGTCTGGCCTGCCACCACACGATAATTGACGAGCTCTTCTGTTATAAGCCAGTTTTTCCTTTAAAGGTAAAAACAGAGGAGATTAGAACAGACTGATTCGGACCACACATTTCTGCATTTCCAACATACATTATCCGCCACATGGCGTGCATAATGCTATTACATTCATTTTGAATACATGACACATTCTTGCTAACATTCTGTGTTGCCTGTAAAGCGTGTGTGCATGTACCTTTAATAAAAGCGATAGTCTTGCTTCGGGTTTCCCTGCAGTCTCCAGCAAATAAGATTTTATCACCAGGGCACTGCTGAGAACAACCCCAGAGAAAAATCAAAGGGGCATTAAACTACAGGGAGCTATTGAAGTAAACAGCATAGATGCACTTAACGAGAATCTTGACAAATACGTGACAGTACTAGAAGGATAGGATGACTTTTTTTTACAAATTTGTCCTTGAAATGTCAGCTGAGGCAAGGCCAATATTTATTGCCTACTGCTAATTACGCTTGTGGACATAAAAAAAGACATGGACCAATCAGTCTCGCTGTGCTACACGTTGTTGGGTAGTTATATTTCTTTACATACGTACTTGGCCAGGATTTAATAAAAGGTTGTTAACTGGGTGGGGCAGTTGCAGGCATGGTGGGCACGTGTTGAATACATCCAACCAGAATCTATCACAGTCATGCTTTACAAAACTTAGAGCTTCAAGTAGAGGGCGTGGTTCCAAAGACTTTGGATTCATTGAAAAGGCAGTTGGGTAGGGACATTGGTGTGGGGCAAAAGGAAGGATAGGTCGATGGTTCCTCAGGTTGGATAGTCTTAACGCAGGCTGGTGGTCTTACTTTGGTGCTTTTCTTCAAGTCGTGGACCTTCTTTCGCACCTCTTCCCAGGTCCTGCGAGTCCCAGACACGGCGTTGACTTTCTCCATGACGAAGAGCCAAGCTTGGCGGCGGCTTTGCATGGTGGGAGGCTGACCTCCCTCACCGAAGATGTCCCCCCGCTTCTCCATGACGGAATCGATCAGCACACGCAGGTCACGGTCCTTGAAGCGGGCTTTGCGGATCCGTCGGTCTGGCATTTTCTGGAAGGGTGGCGCGCTCCACAGCTGGTTCCTCATCTTCACCGCTCCACACTGTCCAAGGGGCGGCAATTCCACCCACGATTTTCGTGGGTTAAAAAAAACATGCGTTAAAATCCAGTCATATTTTCGTTCGGAAGAGCAATGTCAGCAGCTGGCAGCGCCGCTCCGCACAGACCGTGCCAGTAAACTACAACTCCCAGCGGGCATAAGGCATCACTTTTCGAGCAAAGCCGTATTGGAGATGTAGTTTCCCCATTTTTGCCCATGCAATAGTGGGATTATCACTAGAGGGAAGTCGGACTACAACATCCAGAGTTCCCTGCAACAGGGATGAGGGCTCCCTGAGACAGCGCGCAGGCGTACTCGGGGTGGCCTACCTGCAGGCGGTGGTTCTGTTGCCCATCGCCCTTTCATCATTTTTACTTTTGAGAGACCGAGGCTTTGGGAAAAGGGACAAGGCCCGCGAAGGGCTAGCGAGCAATCAGCGGGAAATACACCAGAGACACTTCAGCATGGAACTTGCACGATTAGGCGAAGGAGGTTGGTTGTGAGTGAGATGCTGGGCTGAGGGGCAGGGTCGGTCGTTGGAGGATGAGATGAGCTCGGCGCTGGCTGCTGGACCAGGCACGGGACCTAGGTCAGCCGCCATTTTCTCCTAGTGGGGCAGGCCCAGCAACCAGAGTGAAGCCTCTGAGTGGTGGTCAGGTATGCTTCAGTCATGTGAAGGAACGCACTACCTGTCGTTGAATTTAATCTGCACCTAACGTAGAAGGCAGGTACTGATTCCTATACGATACATTGAGAGATTCAAGAGGATACAGCATCAGAAGGAGACCATTCGGCCCACTCCGCCCATACTACCTGTTTGGAAGAATTGTCATGAATAGAAAATGCCCCCAGGCCTGTTTTTATGCTTGTAAGTAACAAACTCTCGACTATCTATCCAGCTCACTTTCAAAACTTTCTATGGAGTCAGCTTTCACTGACTTTTCACTAAAGTGTTACAAATTTTGACACCATTGAGTGAATTGTGTTTCTGGCCTGTCCTCTACATGCTACAAGCATGTGAATTAGAAACGAGTGGGCTGTTCGGCTGCTAAAATATGTTTTACCATTTGATTAAAATCATAGCTGATCAGATCTGTGTTCAAAATATTGAATGATCCTGCTCCCACTCTTCAAACTCCACTTTTCCAACAACTAGGAAGAAAGTCTCCTGTCTGACATGGGAGAGTTTGTATGTTCTTATGTGGGGACCTTCATCACCCCTTATCAAGTACCTTTTTAAAATCAAAGTGCACGACATCTACAGGCTCTCCCTTTCTATCCAAATTATTTCCTCAAAGTTCAAATGAATCAGTGAAGCAAAAGTTCCCAATGTCAAACGATGTTGATTGTGCCTGAACAAAAACCAGTTACTGGAAAAGCCCAGCTGGTCTGGCAGCATCTGTGTAGAAAAATCCGTTAACATTTCAGGTCTGGTGATCCTCAGAAGGATTGATCCCTGACCCAAACCGTTAACTCTGATTTTTTCTTCACAGATGCTGCCAGACCTGAGCTTTTCCAGCAACTTCTGTTTTTTTTTGTTCCCGATTTACAGCATCTGCAGTTCTTTCGGTTTTGACTCCACCTGAAGTGCCCTGCTCAAACCTAATTTATAATAGATTATAACATCATCATTCTAAATCCTTTTCCTGACTCTCCTATACTGAAATATTTAAGTATTGCTGAAAAAAGGCATTTTGACAAAGCTTTTTGTTTTGCACTCATCACGATGATTTGCAAGTATATGTTAAGAGGAAAACCAACATTCCTACTGTATGAGAGGAGAGTGCAAATAGATAAATAGTGATTGGCAAATAGACTTTGGTATAGAGGTGCTGTCCTGGATCAGCTAATGATGATTGACAGTTAAGAGCTGTTATGGCACAGTGGTAATGCCCCAACCCCTGAACCAGGAGGCTTAGGTTCAAGTCCTACCTGTTCCAAAAGTGTGTAATAGCACTTCTGTATAGGTTGATTAGAAAACCACTGATAATTGACAGTGAACTGCCAGGCTTTATTTAAATTTTAAACCAGGCATGTTCACTCTGGTCAAGGAATTGGTGTGAGAAATGAACTGGCATGAGCTAGTATTTTGTGTAAAATACAAACATAGTGCTGCAGAAGGCAGTGGACATTGTCAATCTGGGCTTCAGTAAGGCATTTGATAAGGTGTCATATGGTAGACTGGTGAGATTGGATCACATGGAATCCAGGGAGAGCTAGCCATTTGGATATAAAATTGGCTTGAAGGTAGGCAACAGAAGGTGGTGGAGGGTTGCTCTTCAGACTGGAGGCATGTGGCACACCACTGGTCACAAGGGTAAGTGCTGGATCCACTGCTTTTTGTCATCTATATAAATGATTTGGATGTGAATATAAGTGGAATAGTTAGTAAGTCTGCAGATGACACCAAAATTGGTGGTGCAGTGGACAGTGAAGGAGGTTACCACAGAGTATAACAGGACCATGATCCAATGGGTCGAGGAGTGGCAGATGGAGTTTAATTTAGATAAATGTAATGTGGTGCATTTTGGGCAGGCAAATCAGGGTAGGACTTGTACACTTAATGGTAGGGTCCTGGAGAGTGTTGCCGAACAAAGACGTTGGAGTGACAGCTCATAGTTCCTTGAAGGTGGAGTCCTAAGCAGATGGGTAATGAAGAAAATGTTTGGTATGCTTGCCTTTATTGGAGTTGGGAAGTCATGTTATGGCTGTACAGGACATTGGTTAGGCCACTTTTGGAATACTCTGTTCAATTCTGGCCTCCCTGCCATGGAGGTCATAGGTTTAAGGTGAAAGGGGGAAAGACTTGAGGGACCTCAGGGGCAACTTTTGCATGCAGACGGTAGTGCATGTATGGGATGAGCTGCGAAGAAAGTGGTGGCTGGTACAATTACAACATTTAAAAGGCATCTGGATGGTTACATGAATAGGAAGGGTTTAGAGGATATGGGCCAAATGCTGGCAATGGAACTAGATGAATTTAGGCTACCTGGTTGGCATGGGCAAGTTGGAGCAAGGATCTGTTTCTGTGCTGTACATTTCTGTGACTCTAAACTCAGTAGGTGTGGAAGTTGCTGGGAAGAGCAACAGTGAACCTTTCGAGTTTAGTATGACTCCCCTTCAGAACAGTTGCTGCCAGAGTTTCTTGAGCATTTTCTATTTTTATTTGATTTCCAGCATTTTGCTTCTATTTGAGTGGTTGTCACATGTTTTGTTGAGCTGAAACCCATGCAGTGCATGTTATGTTAAACGTAGGAGCATAGAAATTAGGAGCAGGAGTAGGCAATTCAGCCCTTCAAACCTGCTGTGCCATTTAACATTGTGGCTGATCTTGAGTTCTCTGTCTTCGAAGAACAGGGTTCTGTGTTAATATATGTAGCTTTCAGCACATACAAATGTGCCACATTGCACACCAACAATGCTAATTGGTTGTTGGTGTAATTCTTCTCACTTTGAATTAACCAAAAAATGGCCAGTTATGAAATCACATCTCACATCGGACATGAGCAATTAGGGGTGAGCAATAAATAGTGGTCTGGCCAGCGATGTCCACATCCCATGAATAAATATGGAAAAATAAAGTGTGAAACTGCTAAGTTCATTTGCACAAACGTTTGTGATACCTTACCCTAGCACGGCAATCTGAATAGTGTGAACACTTTTCGGGATCACAAGTAACGTCCGTAGCGTTGCTAATGTGTGTGTGGTATACAGCAAGAAATGTGCAACAAACAAGTTACAACCAGATTGTGCTTCAGAATACAGCCAATGAAACTGCTTGAACTATTGTCACCTTTTTTTTTGTAGGGAAAAGGCCACAGCCAATTTGCAGACAGTAAATATCCACAACTGGTAATAAGTCAATGAGACACAAATATTTGGATAATAGCTTTTATTGAAAATTGAACATGGATGATAATCATCTCCACCTTCCTCTATCTTAACTTCACCAACCTCCTTGCCTACTAATTGGTAGGACAAATAGACAGAGATCATGGGCCATGTCAGCACCAACACCACAAGAAAAAAGTATGATTTAGGTTCTGCAAGCAGGCATGGGGAGCTGGGAAATAAATTGAAAAGCAGGGACCTCCATAGGTGGTGATCTGAAGATTACTCCAAGTGCTAGCTAGATCAGGACTAGGAGAATACAGAATGACCGCATGGCTGAGGGATGATATAAGAGGGACCGATTTTAGATTCTTGAAGCATTGATTTCCTTCAATAACTAGGTTAATGTATACCTCCATGCCATTTTCCCATGCTATCCCCTTTTCCTTGATTTTTATAGTTGGAAATCTATCATTTGTTTTCTTGGAGGTGCTCAATGACACAGACCTGTGGGGAAGAAAATTACTAAATACCTACTCCTATTCTGGGACTGTGCCTTGGTTATCGACTGACTGACACCCCATGCCCCACCCTGCAACCAAAGGAAACCTCCTTGCTTCGACTTTGTTGCACCCTGTGAGAATTTTGTACTTTAGTTGAGATCACCGCACATTCTTCTAAGCTCAGTGAATACTGGCCCTAGTCTCTTCAGTTGCTCCTCACAGGACAATCCTGCCAGCCCAGAATCAGTCTGATTCAGAAACTCTGCGACACTCCTATTTCAAGTATAACCTTCCTTAGATAAGGAGGGTACATCTGCACACAGTGCTCCATGTGCGGTCTCAACCAGGCTCCATACAAGTGCAGCATCATATCTTTAGTAAAAACCAAAAGAACTGCGGATGCTGTAAATCAGGAACAAAAACAAAGTTGCTGGAAAAGATCCGCAGGTCTGGCAGCATCTGTGGAGGAGAAAACAGAGTTAACGTTTTGGGTCCGGTGACCCTTCCTCAGAACTCATATCTTTAGTCTTGTACGCAAAGCATCTTGCAATAAAGGCCTCTGCAGAATGCATATTATTAGAGATGTGTATTTCTTCTATTGTTAACTGTGAAAGGCTTGGTTTTAGTGCTACAGCTGCATTCATCTAGTTTAGCATTTCTTTTCAGTATTTGTCAAATAATATGCGTACCATTAACTCAACCCAAGGAACCAGTACAGTCACAGTGGGCTGACAGGCCTCTTTCTGTGCTGTATCATGGTAACAATACGTCTTTCCATAATACACTAAAGATGCATCTGCCTATTTCCAATCAGAGGGAATGCAACAATCATAAATGACTTTTCATGTTGCACTGTAACTGCACCTTTTTTCTTCAACAGAGGTGTTAAGTTGTAGCCTGTATGGGAGAGTGTAATTGTAGCATGGCAAATTTACATTGGAAAATTCCATTCTAGATGTTGTTGAAGTATATCAAATATTAAACAAGGTCACTGCATATAACCTTGAAATAGAGACAAGTTTACATTGTCAAGTAAATTGTCAACCCTTGTCAAGTTGCCAAGCTATTAATTAACACTGATTTTACATGAATCTTGCACTTGATCTCAATGCTGTAACTGTAAAAGTTAAAGGCAAAGTTGCCATAGTCCTATTGGACCACAGGGCTGCTCTCCCATCAGAGGTGACTGGTGGTGGTTTAACATGAGGAGAGGTTGTAAAGGAGAATCCTACAAGGTAACCTTCATGGGGTCAGTTATTTCCATTGCCTGGATTGCTGGTTTGCAATGCAGAGTAATGCCAACAGCATGGGTTCAGTTCTGGCTGAGGTTACCATGAGGGACTCTGAGTGTAATGCCATGGCAGATGCATTTTGTAAGTGCTGTACTAACTTGTAACACAGCCTTTTTCACACTTATCAATTGATTATATATAAAACAGTAAATTAGAGGTACAGATAATGGAGTGAGGAAAGTAGCTGGAAAACTGCCAATGAAAAGCCAATAAGGATTCATGAAATAACCAATCCTGAATGTTAATTATGGCTTGGCGTCTATTTAAAAAGAAATCTGATTACTGGGCATTTTCTACTTCTTTCTAAGTAACTGAAATTTCTTCATATGTTTAAAGCAAGTTTGGAAGGTGGATGATGTTATGCAGCTCTGTTAAATCCATCGATTATGCAGGTATTTCTGCTGCATTATAGGAGTTGCGTTCTTGTGTGATGTCATGCTGTAGAAAATCATGTTATAGGGAAATCACTACAGAAAATCGCTATACCCGTACAACAGAAAGTTCATGTTACCCAAACAGCATCCACTCTTCAATCGCATTACAGCCAATTTGCATTAACAAAACATATGTTATACAAATACTTTATTTGTCTTTTCGAAATCTTAATTAGCTTTTTTGCTTTTGGGATATAATCAAAAATCTGTTTACATTTGACATTCTTGTCTTCATTAAATTAACTGAAGTTAACGAGTATATGTGGTGTGCACATTTTTCCAGGATGCTGCAGTAGCATCCTGTCACCTAATTGCCAGAACATTTTCTCTTAAGGTTTTAAAGCTTTTTTGTTTGTCAAAAGACAATATAAACAAGAAGTCTCATTTCTGAAGCTTTATTCAGGTGAGATTTATATTGTGTATTTCAAAGAGGCAGCGAGAGAGAAAACACCACTCTACTTCAAGTGTGACAGAGTGGACTGATCACACAGTATTGCGGCTTTTTGATGTTCTGTTATAAACAATCTTCTTTGTTTCTCAGTGGGAAAGTCCAAATTGTGTTTCTGTCAATAACAATATTTTAAGGTGTGTATTTTTGAAACTGATTTAAGTACAAAGAAGACAATGAATTTAAATAGGTTTTCAATGAATATTTAACATAAAAGCCATTCATTTTTACTATAGAAAGTGTTAAGCTGTGGTGGTGGGAAAGAGAATTCCGAGGAAATAATGTCTTCTCAGCCCAATTTAAGTACTTTTTTTCTTCTATTTTCCTGCCCATGTGAATATATTCAATTTTAAAATTTTCTCAGGCCATAGGCTCTGATTTAGCATCACCTCTATGTTCTTAATAGATAAATCTAGGTATCTTAATCATTGCTACATTTTACTGTCTCATAATTGGCCATGCACATGCCTGGAATGTGTGACCACACACACTTCTGGAGATGTTCCATAAACATGAGATTTGCAACCAGACCCTGCCTTAACCGCAACTGCCCCCCAGTTCCAGACCAATTATTACTGTCTAATTACCACCTACGCTGTACCTCATTCTGATGACAGGCAGACTTTAGGAATCAATGAACTAAACCCTGCATTTTTTCCTTTTAGGTCTACTAAATGGCATGCTTCTCCTTACTATGGATTTAGTAAAGTCACGATCGTCCCAGTGAACCATAGGACTGCTTTCTTATTAGAGAGACGACTGGTGGTGTTTAACCTGAGAGTCGTCACATCCTCTGGCAAAGACGTGAGATTGCAAAGCTTGGAACTTCGTGGTCACCTCAGCTGGAGCAGGAATGAACCTGTGCTGTTGGCATCACTCTGCAAAGCAAACTAGCTGTTCAGCTATGCTCCAGAAATGGAACGTGTGTAAGAGATAGTAGGAACTGGGTCTAGGCCCGAAACGTCAGCTTTCCTGCTCCTCTGCTGCTCGGCCTGCTGTGTTCATCCAGCTCTACACCTTGTTATCTATGTAACGTGTGTGATGCAGGTTGACCCTCCCAATGTATTTTGAGGGATTGCAGCTTTGTCGGAGGTACTGCATTTCAGGTGAAATTTCAAAAAGTCTGGTTACCAAAGAGACACATACATGATTTTTTTTTTTTTAAAAAAAGAAAAATTCAAACTTCCAGTTAGCTGAACTAATTTATGATTTAATATATTTAAGATGTAAGATTTAAAGACATTTACTGTAACATACAGGCTAAAAAGGACCTGATGAAACTTAAATTTTGTAGGCAACTTGTACTTAACTTTAAACACAACAGAAAGAAAAAACACTTGTATTTTTTTACTTTCCTTTTAAAGAGATGTTTAATTCTCCCAGAATCAGTCCAAAATGAATCTTGGTCCCAAATGTTTACTTCTGATGTTTGTTTTACTTCTCTGCCTGGAAACTTTCAACTTTAATGCACACTATCATAATGCAAATCTTTCTGGAGACTTCTCCCTCTAGCTGAAGCTAGGCAAATCTTTCAGTCTTGTTTCAATTCTCCAAAAACTTGCTGTTTACAACTTTGAGATTGCAATCCGGCACAGTCAACCATAGGGATGAAAGCCTATAAACCTGTTATCATAGTGACTGTCTTTCTATTTTTCTACTGTTCCATCACCATGAAATGGGCTTTGTAACCAGATAGAGAGTGTTGGAGTCTATCTTCAAAGCAAATAGACAATTTAAAGCACATCTCTTTACAACCTGATGTTTTCAACACTTTTCTGGAATACTGGGGACTGTAAGCATGTGGTCTGCATCCATAATTTCCAAGCATAATCACCTCACACCACCTTCCCAATAAAATATGGGTGCCCTTTAGTTTCTAATACACAAACCACCCAAACTTGATATCCAGTAGATTTTAGAGCAGGTTACATGAACTCCATTCATTTTAGGAGTATCTTAAGCTGTGCAATATTATAGTGAATTATTGATTGTTGCATGACTGCTTGAAGCACTAAGTTATAGGTTACAAAAGACTTGTAGTTTAACTAATATGATCTAATGTTCTAAGTACAAATTTTATGGTGCTTTGTCTTGGTATAGTGATTAAGGCCCAGTGTCAAGTCTGAATGTACATTGTTTTCTCATTGGTTTCCAGTAAGTTAATCAGGTGTGCCATGTAAACATTTGTGGCCACAAAACAAGCCAGGGGCTTAAAATTCTGCAGTGATTTAAAATATCTTCTGACTTCCCAGAACTTGTCCACTGTCTACAAGTTGTAAGACAGGAAGGTGATGGAGCAATTTACACTTGCCTGCTTGAGTGTTGTTCCAATAGTACTCTAGTTCAGCACTCTTCAGGACAAAGCAGTTTGCTTGTCCGGCACCTAGTCCATCAACATAAACACTCTGGGTTAATGTTCTGGGGACGTGGATTTTCAAGTTTTAGCATGGTAGATGGTCAAAATTTGAATTCAATAAAAATATGAATTTTTAAAAGCTAGCCTGATGGCAACTGTGTAACCACTGTCGATTGTTTTTTTTAAGTCTGGTTTATTAATGTCCTTTGATGGCAGATATCCTTTCCTGCTTAGCTGGTCTGGCCTACATGTGACTCCCGACCCACAGCAATGTGGCTGATTCTTAACTAGCTTCTGAAATGGTCTAGTGAGACCCTTAGTTCAAGGGCAATTAAGAACAGGCAAAATTGCTGGCCCAGACAGCAACATCCACAGCCTGTGAATTAATTCAAACAAGCGCTGCAGTTGGCAAATAGGGGCAGCGGTGCATATCCTATTCAAAGGCATTGCAGCAACTTGCTATGTCTTTTGCAGTGATACCTCCCAAACCTCTGCCACGTATAAGGACAGAGATAGGAGGCTAAAGAATTATCACAGCCTGAATGCTCACCTCCAAGTTACAAGCCGTTTTGAATTCTGAAATGTAAGCTTTTACTTTATTGTCCCCCAAGTCAAAATTCAGTAACTAACTCTCTCAGTACCATTTAAGGCGAATTAACGGCTCAAACTGAGGAGTTTCAAAAATACTGCTCTCAAGCAGCTCCTTAATTAGGATGTGCAATAAAAGCTGGCCTTGCACTGAAGTTCACATCTGGTGAATGATCTTTTTTAGTGCAGAAATTGCATAATTTACATTTAACTGTCTATTGGTGAATATATCTAGGTGCTGTCCATACCTTCTGAGTATAATCACTAGGTCCCCCAAATATAAACCGAGCGTCATGCTATGTTAGTATCTGTAACTTGTGGTCTGCAGGAACATAGATTTAAAAGTGTGTCATTCCACCATTCCCCTGTTTTATTTTGGCACACTCCTGCACAGTATTCCAAAACTGTACATCAAGAATGATGGCCTTCTGATGTACAGCGCACTTTAATATTGCTTACGTGACATGCATTTGGTATGTACATGTATTGTACCTTGATTAAACTGCTTTTGGTGTATACAAATTGTGACATATCTTAAACAAAAAAAAAGCAGGATTAGGCGATTAGGCCATTTGGCCTATTAAGTCTCCTCTACCATTCACTAAGATTGTGGCCTTAACTCCATTTTTCTGCCTACATGCCTCCATCCAAGCATCAAAAAATCTGTCTAATATATTAAATGACTCAGCCTCCTTTTGCTCAGAGGAAAAGAATTTCAAAAAAAAATCACCATTTCAATCATGAGATCCCTTGTTTTAAAACTGTACCCGTAGTTTGAGATTCCTCACAAGAAGACGTATTCTTTCAGCATCTACCCTGAAAAACTCTGCTCAAATCTTATGTATCAGTGTGATGTTGATTATACTGATAGTTTAAAACCAAAACCGCAACCCTGGAATTTTACTTATTCTGTGATTGTATAAATCTATAGCTTGATTATAGGGAAATGCATCTTTGTATATTGCAGCAAAGGTCACTGTTTTCACTGAAGAGTGAATTACAGAATGTGATCTCCAGAACATCAATACACTACTGCGGCATTTGTCATTCTGTTGGTTATTAGCTAGATGCTGCATATATATTATCATAGAATCCCTTCAATGCGAAAGAAGGCCATTCGGCCCATTGAGTCAGCACCGACCCTTCAAAGAACATTCTACCCAGTTTCACCCCTCCCTCCTCTTCTTTCCCCTCCCCACCCTTTCCCTGTAACCCTGCTTTCCCCATGGCTAATCCACCTAGCCTGCACATCCCTGGACACTACAGGCAATTCATCATTGCCAGTCCACCTAACTTGCACCTTTTTGGACTATGGGAGGAAACCAGAGCAGACATGGGGAGAATGTGTGCAAACTCTACACAGACAGTTGCCTGAGGGTGGAATTGAACCTGGTTCCCTGGCACTAAGATAGCAGTATATCCACTGAGCCACCATGCCACCCCCTCATATTGGAATATATTTTAGCATTCGGAATTTTTTCCAATTGCAGATTGTGCACTTGTAACATCAGAATTTTTTTTTCTTGCGTGTAAAATTTATAAAAGAGTAAAACTTCTTAATCTCTGGGATGATCAGACTACAGAATTAGAAAATAAAGTGTTTAGTATTTGTAGAATGCTAAATCTTTGATTTTTTTTTTGTAACACTGTTTTGTTAAAACACTGTGTTGGGGTTAATTAAAGCATTAAGCAGTTTGTGGCTGTGCTGCTGCTTTAAGGACCAGTGTGGTCAACAGCTCCTCAGCTGGGATATCATTGTTGATCTACAATGGCAGTAGAACAGCATAATGTTTTAATAAATATGCTCTTTTGCTAAGTGTGCCAGTGTTTTCCTGTACATGAGCCAATTAATCTAATCCCACCATCCTCTACACTCCGAGCAGGACAGAACAGCTCAAGATAAGACCATTCAGACCACCATGTCTGTGCTGACCATAATGCTTTTCTAAACTAATCCCATTTGCCTGCACATGGTCCATGTCCCACTCTCCCTTGCCTGTTCATGTGTCCGCCTATATGCTTCTTAAACTTTGCTAACTTATCTGCTTCTACAACTTCCCTTGGAAATGCATTCCAGACACCTCCCCCCTTACATATCCCAAAAACTTTTTTCCTCCCATCTTTAAACCTATGCCCCTTAGTATTTGACATTTCCAGCCTGGGTAAAAGACTCCACCCTATTCACATCTCTCATAATTTTATATACTTCTGTCAATCGTCCCTCAGCCTCTGATGCTGTAGTGTTAACAATTCAAATTTGTCCAACCTTTCCTTAAGGCTAGTGCACTCCAATCTGTTTGTTGCTCTGAAAGAGGTGAAGTGAGAATGACTGCCTCTGGCATTAGGGTGCATCTGACAGAATGTGGCATCGAGGAGCCCTAACAAAACTGAACTGAGTGGGAATCAGGAAAACTCTTAGCTCGTTACAGCCTTGCCTGGTATAAAGGGGAGTGATTGTGGTTGTTGAAGGTCAGTCATCACCATTCCAGGACATCTCTGCACGAGTTCCTCAGGATAGTGTCCTAGGCCTGACCATCTTCTGTTGCTTCATCAATGACCTCTTCCACCCATCATAAGGTCAGTAGTAGGGGTGTTTGTTGATAATGCTGAACATTGCACAATTCATGACTCAGATACTGAAGCAGTCCATGTCCAAATATAGCAAGACCTGGACAGTATTGAGGCTTGGGCTGTTGGTAAGTAATATTCATGCCACACAAATGCCAAGCAATGGCCATGTCCAGCAAGAGAATCTGACCATTATGCATTGACATTCAATGCCATACCATCACTCAATCTCCCATTATCAATTTCCTTGAGTATTGTTTAGTTTGGTTTCTGGTCTAGCCATTTAAATGCAGTGGCTACAAGAGTAGATCAAAAGCTAGGAATCTTACAGCAAGTAACTCACTTTCTGACTCTTCAAAGTCTGTCGAGGTGAGTGCAGCTCCAACAACACTCAAGCTTGACCTCATCGAGTTCAAAGCAGTCTGCTTGATTGGCACTTCATCCACAAGTATTCATTCAATCTACACTGCTTTGTGTGTACCATCAACAAAATGCACTGCAGAAATTCATCCATCACCTTTCAAACCCACGACCACCACCATCTTCTTAAGTCAAAGGCAGACAATACATGAGAACACTGCCCCCTGCAAGTTCCACTCTAAGCCACTCACCATCCTGACTTGGAAATAAATTACAAGTGCTTCAGTGCCATTGAGTTCAAATCCTGGAATTTTCTCCCTAATGACATTGTGTCTACATACAGCAAAAGGACTGTGGCAATTCAAGAAAACAGTTCACCACCTTCCTGAGGGCAATTAGGGATGAGCAATAAACGCTGTCCCTGTCGATAATGCTCAGGACCCATGAGTGAATAAAAAATAAAGGGAAATAATGTTTTAACAAATTTCTTGGCATTCTTTCTGGCAGTAATGTGCTGCGGAAAAAGACAAATTAGCGAATGTACTGTATTCAGTTTCCAGGAAGCATTTGATAAAGTGCCACATCAAAGATAATTGCAGAAAGTAAAATTTCATGGAATAGGGGGTAACATATTGGCATGAATAGAAGATTGACTGGGTAAGAGAAAACACAAAGTAATCATAAATGATTCATTTCTGGCAAAATGTAATGAGTGATGTACCACAGTAATCAGTGCTGTGGCCTCAATTTCTTAAAATTTTTAAAATGTCTTCCTTTTTTTAAATAAAAGAATTGAATTTAAACAGAAATTTGATGACAAAAAGGTAGGCAGGAAAGTAAATTGTGAAGCTGGCATAAAAAAAGCCATGAAGGAAACGCAAATAATTGAGTGGGCAAAGATCTACGAAGGAAACACAAATAATTGAGTGGACAAAGATCTAGCAAATGGAGTATAGTGTGAGAAAATGTGAAATTGTCCATCTTACCAGAAAGATCAAAAAATTGTTTAAAAGTTGAGAGATTGCAGCATTCTGAGATACATAGGGATCTTGTTATCTCAGTGCTTGAATTATAAGAGGTCAGTATGCAGATATATCAGATCACTAGGAAAGTTTACAGCATGTTATAATTTATAGCGAGGGGAATTGAACACAATTATGTTTCAGTCATGCAGGGCATTGGTGAGATCACATCTAGAGTACTGTTTATAGTATTAGTCTCCGTATTTAAGGAAGGATATAAATACATTGGAAACAGTTCGGAGAAGGTTCACTAGACTAATCCCTGGAATGGGGTGGGTGCAGAAGGGTTGTCTTGTATGGTTTGATAAGCTAGGCTTGTGTCACTGGAGTTTAGAAAGGTCAAAGGTGATTTGATTGAAGCATATAAGATCCTCAAGGGTTTTTTTTACTACAGAGATGAGGACAGTTTTTTTTTCAGAGGGTTGTGAATCTTTGGAACTCTGCTTCCACCACCTATGAGCAGAATGTAATTGAAAACTTTTAAGATAGAAATTGATAAATCCTGGGATGAAAAATTATTGGGGATAGGTGGGAATGTAGAAGAATTGGATCAACCATGATCTTATTGGAGCTGGCCCCAGGGGCTGATTGGCCTAATTGCTCCT